TTGCCATGTAATTGAAAACTCTTTCTTCAAACCTTTGCTATTAACATGATGTTTATTTATGAAATTCAGAGGCTTGTAGCACACTACCAATCAGTAATTGATCAATTTCTGCATTACCTTGTGCTAGAGGACCTGGCAGACCCGTATGGGATCGGTTGTGTGTTATGTACATAGGGCAAAGCCTGTTCCTGATCAAATCTTGAACCTGGAGAAACAATGAGGTTAGTTCAGTATCATCAGGTATAAATTCAGCAGTTTCAATATGTAAAATAACTCTTTCTGCGTATTGTGAATCAGTGACTATATTAATAGGTTCTTTAAAATCCCTTAGCACCATAAGAATGGCATATAATTCCGCCTTCTGGACAGAATTATACGGATTTTTGTTCCACCTTATCCAAGTCTTCTGATTTGTAACCTGCCTTCCCTGATTTATTGGCATCAGTATAGAATGTACGGGCTCCAGTTATTGGAGCATCACGGACGATTCGAGGAAGAATCCAAGAAGTTCTCTTTATGAAGTTAAGCCTCTTGCTTTTTGGATAGTTGTTATTAATGTCTCCCAAAAAATTAGCACAAGCTCTTTGCCATGGTTCATTATCTTCCCATAATTTCTTTAGTTCATCAGCAGTGAAAGGCACTATAATTTCTGCTGGGTCTATGCCTGCTAGTTGACGAAGTCTCAGCTTGCCTTTTATAATTAACTCAGAGACTTTTTCCACATAAGTTTTCAGTTTCTTACTTGGTTTATGTGGTAAAAAGATCCATTCCAAAATAATATCATCTCTCTGCATTAAAATTCCTGTAGGAGAAATTTTTGATGGTAGTATGACGAGAATACAATCAAGCTCTGGATTCACCCTGTCCACATGTGCCTGTTGTAATTTTTCCTCAATCATTGTCAGTTCCTTTTCTGCTTCAGCTGTTAATTCTCTGGGACTGTTTAAATCTTTATCACCATCCAAGGTTTTGTTCAAATGAATTATTAGATCAGGTGTTATTCCAATAGCTGCTCGTAGACTGGAAATGTCTCCTAACAGACTTTGAAAGTCATTAAGAGTCCGTAGGCGATCTCTCCTAAATTTTGTGTCTTAATTTTTTGCAAACCTATTTTATAACCTAAATAATTAACAGAATCTCCCTTCTGAATCTTTTCAGGAGCAATTTGCAATCCCCATTTAGGTAAAAGTATCTTTATTTCTTCAAACAGTCTGTTCAAGGTATCCATGTTTGAATCGGATAACAAGATGTCGTCCATGTAATGGTATACTATAGATTTGGGAAATTTCTTGCATATTATTTGCAATGGTTGGTTCACAAAATATTCGCACAGGGAGGGGCCATTTAACATACCCTGGGGGAGGACGGTCCAGTGGTACCTCCTCGAAGGTTGAGAATTGTTATAAGTAGGCACTGTGAAGGCAAATTTTTCTCTATCTTCTTTTTGCAAAGGTATAGTGAAAAAACAATCCTTTAAATCAATAACTATGAGAGGCCATCCTTTTGGTAATAAAGAGGGCAAAGGAATTCCAGATTGCAGAGGGCCCATAGGTTGAATAACCTTGTTGATGGCCCTGAGATCTGTCACCATTCTCCATTTACCTGATTTTTTCTTAACCACAAATACATACAGGAGAATTCCAAGGGCTGGTAGATTCTTCTATATGTCCAGCATCTAATTGTTCTTGTACCAGCTGTTCTAAAGCCTGTAACTTTTCCTCAGCTAAAGGCCATTGCTTTGTCCATATTGGTTTCTCAGTCAACCATTTTAGAGGCAAGGCTGTTGGTATCTCTGAAGGGACATCAATTGCTTGTTCTTGTACAGCCCGAATGGCCAGTTTTCTCCGTTTGTAATATCTTTTAATATTATTCTCAGAAATATAGGCTCTAGATTTAGCAGGAATGTTAATTTCGGTATTCCATTGTTGTAATAGGTCACAACCCCATAAATTCATTGCGATATTGGCTACATATGGCTTTAATTTTCCTATTTGTCCCTCTGGCCCTATACATTCAACCCATCTCATGCTCTGCCTTACTCGAGATAGGGTTCCAATTCCCAGGAGCTGAACATTTACATTCTGAAGAGGCCAATACGGATGCCAAGATTCTGGGGTAATGATACTTACATCAGCACCTGTGTCCAGCAGGCCAGTAATAAAAATGCCATTTACACACACTCTCAGTTTAGGTCTTTGATCATTTATAGAAGTTTGCCAAAACACACGTAACTTATCTTTCTGATCATTATTACTTATAACAGTAGGCATGGGGCTTCCTAATTGTCCTGATGAGGCACATTCTCTGCAGAAACTGGAAATGACTGAACCATGTTTGCCATGGGGGCCTGTGAGGCCCCCTCTCTCACGTTTCCCGACTGTATCAGGTTGCCTTGTCTATCTCTTGTAGACCTGCATTCATTCGTCCAATGTCTGCCTTTTCCACATCTTCTACATAAACCTGAAGGCTGAGTCCTCCTATTTCTGTTATTTCTAGAAGATGCATTATTATTATTATTATTATTATTTCTGAAAATCCGTTGTCTACAATTCCTTTTAATATGACCCATTTTGCCACAATTAAAACATTTGGTATTCTGGTGTCTCCTTTTACCATTGGAAATTGCTTCTTCTACCCATGCTTCAGTGCCATAATCAAATGTATCAACATTGAGTGTATGCAAGACCCATTCTTCCAAAGGCGCTGATCTGAGCTTTAAAGGGCCCAAAATCCTTTTGCATTCCACATTTGCATTTTCATAAGCCAAAGACTCAATCATTATACGTCTTGCTTCTGGGTCAGATATCCCTATTTGTACAGCCTTAGTTAATCTTTGTAAAAAGTCACTAAAGGGTTCTCTCTGACCCTGTTTAACTCTGACAAATGATTCCATTCTCTGTCCTGGGTCTCGTACCCTGTCCCAAGCCCTTAAGGCTGCTGTAGTACACATGGAGAGTGTGTTTTCATCCAAATTAGCTTGTTCCTGAGGGTCGGAAAAGAGCCCTTCACCTAGAATTTTATCTAGGGAAATGTCAATTCCCTTTGCTTTTTCCTGCTGTTCTAAGAGTCTAGCCTCTTGCCTGAATAAGCATTGCCATTTCAATTGCGGTCCACTCTCAAGTACTGCAGAGCTCAGCTGGAGCCAGTCCGAGGGGGTTGCTCTACTTGTCGTGGCCCAAGATTTTAGCATCTCTTTAACAAAAGAGGCTTGCATCCCAAAAGTCATGACAGCCTGTTTAATTTCCTTGAGGTCATTCACACGAACAGGCTCCCATGTATCCTCCTTGATGACCCTAGGGTTTCTGGAACCAATCACCTTCTCTGTTGTTATTACTGGAAAGGCAGATAGAGCTGTAGGTAGAGCTTTGTGGAAATTGTCCCGGAGAGATTTACCCACAGATGTAGTTAAAATTTGCCTTTCTACCCTTGTTGAAGACCAGAAGCATCCAAGGCCCATTCAGCCTTCACTGTATCCAATAAAGTCTAACCCTGAGACTTGTGTCTGTGTCCTACTGTGCCCACGGGGTGGATTCAAGGGCTATAGGATAAGGTCTCTCAACAAGGTTGGAGGGAAAGGAAGGTCAAGGACAGAAAGTGCCACACATCCCAGTATCTGAGCTGCTTAGAGACCTCTGCAAGGCCCTTTTCTGCTTTAATTCTAGTCTGTGGACACATAATTGGAATCAAAGAAGAGGTCACTGGGCCCATTTCTCAGGGCATGCCTGGGTGGACACACAGCAGCCCATTTTCCTCATTGGGAAAGACATGGCAAACAACTCATTCACAGGCAAACAAAGAAATCCCATGTACAGACCAGAAGGCTCCAGGACTGGAGAGATGGCTGAGTGGTTCGCTAGCTGCTGCTCCTGCGAGTTCAGGTTCAATTCTCAGCACCCATATGGCAGCTCACAACTGCAACCCTAGTTCCAGGAGACCTAACACCCTCCTCTGGCTTCTGTGGGCACACTACACACGCCAGAGAGAGAGAGAGAGAGAGAGAGAGAGAGAGAGAGAGAGAGATCTGGAGCATGGGGGGAGAGGGGGGACAGAATCTATGATGTCATTATCTGACCTCTGTGACATAGGCTTTTGATACCAGAGAAAGCCTCTGTGACATAGGCTTTTGATACCAGAGAAAGCCGCTTCCACGGAATGAGCCCCTCAGCTCCTACTGGGGGCAGCAATGCTGCCCCTTAGGCAAAGCTTTAGTCTCTGGGAGCCATTTACCTGCTGACCCTACTGGGTCTGACAATCACCTCTGTCAAGGCCAGGTTGAGTGAGAGGGACACCATGTGAAGGGTGACAAGTGACCAGGGGAGCCAGCATGCCAGGAAGTCAGGATGCTTACAAAATCTGTGTGTCAGGGATAGAGGGACAAAACCCTGCACCACAGAAGAGCTCTGCCTGACAGAGGCCTTGAGGCACCACTAGGAGTGGAATTCAGGGTAAGAGTCTGTGTAGGGGTCAGAGGCTGGAGGCAGAGGAGACCGTTTTGTGACTCTGCTTTCTCTTCCCTTTTTGAGGAAGTGTCTTGGAAACAGCAGAAGGAATCCACATTGGTAAAACTGCCTATGATCTCCATTCCTTTCCCATCTCCGTCCTTTCCTCTATCCTTCTGATCTGCTCCGCTGCTTTACCCTTCTCTAAAGCATCTGCCAGGTTTTCTGACCTCAAAGGTGACAAACAGCTAGTGTCTTTGCTGTTATGTTGAGACAGATGCCTGTAACCCAGGTTGATCTTGATCTCCTTGTGTCCCTGCTGGGGATACAAGCTATAGCCAGCATGCCATGCTTATGTGCTCTTGGAGATCAACCCCAGGACTTCATGCATGCTAGGCAAGCGCTGGCTCTACCAGCTGAACTACACCCGAAGACCTCACATTTAGGGTTGTGATAAGTTCACACTGGAACTGAGTGCCTGGAGCAGAGTCCAGAAGTGGACCGATCGTTCCAACATCCTGATCTCTGTCTTTTTCTCTGCAGGTCTTCCAGACTGGGTCGTCTTCTCGGTTCCACCCAGAGTTAGGGTTGCCCCTCGGCTCCCAAGGGACAGCTCTCATTCCCCATTTCCGTACATCTCTAGCGAATGGCTAAGAAAAAGTGAAGAGCCAAGCTTAGATGCAGGCTCCGGACTGAGCACGCGAGAGACAAGCAGAAGAGGCTTCGTGTTCCCTTGGCCTGCTGCTGACATCTGCAGTGAAACTAGGCAGCGGCCACACTGCTGTGGCAGAAGGCAGTCACCAACTGGAAGGTCTCTAATTAGTCTTGTGGCCCCTCCCACTTTTTTTCCTGGATTCAAGGCAATGTTGCCTCAAAACAAGGACCAGGTGCTGCTACAGAACACAGTACCCCCAGGGTGTCCCCCTCAGGTCCTCTCACAGTTTGCTGACTCCCCTCCATCCAACTTAGCATCTCTCTCCCCCCATCAGTCCCTCCCACCTCCCCACCTACCTTTGCCATCTCACAGGCCAGCCTATTTTTCCTTCTCTTCTCTGCCACAGCCCCACTCTCCTGGGCCTCACTTCAACTCTTCCAAATCAAATTCTGACTGTGTTTCCCTCCCATTCTCTTCCTCCCTCCCGAGTTTCCCCACTTTCTTTCACCAGAACTACCCTTGTCTTCCTTCACGACACTCATCCCCTCCCCTCAACTACCAGCTGGGCGCCTCCCCTCCTCTTTCCCATCACTCTTCTCTTTCCCAGGTACAAAATTCCTCTCCTCACTCTTGCCAGTCTCCTCCCCACCTCCAGGGCATCCATAGTTCCACAGCCACGTCCCCCAGCCCCAGCCCCAGCCCCCCTTCTGGAGGGATTTCCAGTAACAAACAAACACGGCAGTGTCCTCAATCCAAAAACACCAGGTCCCTTGGAGTGGCAGGGGGATGCAAGGCAAGCAAGGTGGACCCTGCAGAGTTCAAGGACCCAATGGCCCTCGCCCAAGCCCTAGCCGACCGTGTGGGGCGCCGCAGAATTGCAACAGATCTCCAGCTACTGTTTCTGCGGCGCATGTGTCTCGGCACATCCACACCCGGCCAGGCCCCAGTCGTGGAGTATCCCATTTGTCTACAGTGCCTCCGGCCCCGCACCCGGTCTTGCCCCACCCCCAAGGACAAGATGGGGGCAAGGCTTCTTGCCTTCCCTCAACTACTGCCCTGTGCTCAGGGCCAGGAGTCTGGGCCTCTCTGCATAGGTATTGGCTTCGGCCTCCACTTGTCTCGGGGCCAGGCCAAAGCCTTGCATTTGCTACCACCAAAAAAACGACAAGAAGCAAGTCCTCAAGGAGAGGTCGTCCTGAGGCAACCGCCTACAACCCAGACCCCAGAAGCTCAAGTTATGGACACATTCTCCCAGGCCGGGCCCCTCAAGTTTGCAGGCCTCCAATCACTAAAATCCAGCCAATGTTCCATGCCTCCAGCTCAGGCACCAAGATGGGTCACTGCCTCCCTAAGGCCCAGATTGTCTACAGCCCCAAAGAGGTTGGCGACTCCAGAATCTATTCTCCAAAAGTTACCACCTTAATTCCAGAGCAGCGGAGACCCTATGGAACACCCTCTCCAAACCCCACCCTCCCTACCAGGACTTCTCAGACCTTAGGAAGCCACAGCAACACCTTGAAGGGCTGGCTGGCCGGAGGCCAAGTGTGTTCTCCTGCCCTGAACCCTGGAAACCCCTTGTGGAGTCTGCTCTCCCCTGGTTGAAGACCAGAAGCACCCAAGGCCCCATTCAGCCTTCACTGTATCCAATAAAGTCTAACCCTGAGACTTGTGTCTGAGTCCTACTGTGCCCACAGGGTGGATTCAAGGGCTATAGGATAAGGTCTCTCAACAAGGTTGGAGGGAAAGGAAGGTCAAGGACAGAAAGTGCCACACATCCCAGTATCTGAGCTGCTTAGAGACCTCTGCAAGGCCCTTTTCTGGTTTAATTCTAGTCTGTGGACACATAATTGGAATCAAAGAAGAGGTCACTGGGCCCATTTCTCAGGGCATGCCTGGGTGGACACACAGCAGCCCATTTTCCTCATTGGGAAAGACATGGCAAACAACTCATTCACAGGCAAACAAAGAAATGCCATGTACAGACCAGAAGGCTCCAGGACTGGAGAGATGGCTGAGTGGTTCGCTAGCTGCTGCTCCTGCGAGTTCAGGTTCAATTCTCAGCACCCATATGGCAGCTCAAAACTGCAACCCTAGTTCCAGGAGACCTAACACCCGCCTCTGGCTTCTGTGGGCACACTACACACGCCAGAGAGAGAGGGGGGGGAGGGGAGGGAAGGAGGGAGGGAAGCAGGGGGAGAGAGAAGAGAGAGAACAACTTTAAAAGGGGTAGCAGTAGCCCCGCAGTGGTGGTGCATGCCTTTATGTAGGGATAAGTCCCGACCTTAGGGGGCGTGTTCGCCTCGGGCTAATGTCTGCCTATAAATTTGGCGAGCCTGCTCCTAGCTGTCTCTTCTACTTTCCTGGTCTCCGCGGGAACGGTGGTTCTGTAAGTCTATTTCTACATTAAAACTATATATATTTTTACAATCTGTCTGCATTCGTTTACGCCGCTACATTTTGGCGTCCAATGACGGGCTATTTTGCCCCAGACTCAAGTGGGTAGCCCGCTAGCTAACACAGCACCCTCATGGGTGCTGTTTTTTAGTTCGTGACTCCGGCCCCAGTGCCTAGTTCGAGACATACTCGGCCACACAGGCCCATTCTGCCTTCCTTGGCTTAGTTTTGCAGTGGAACCCCACTGCCTGAATTAGCAGAAGCTCCAGTACCTGCGGTTTTGCAACAAAAGCTGCCATAGCGGCAGATTTGGTCTGATACAAAGTGACTTGGACGGGCAGTGGTGGCGCACGCTTTTGATACCAGCACTTGGGAGGCAAGGGCAGGCGGATCTCTGTGAGTTTGAGGCCGGCCAGGCAGTGGTAGCGCACGCCTTTAATCCCAGCACTTGGGAGGCAGAGACAGGCGGATCTCTGTGAGTTCGAGGCCAGCCTGGTCTACAAGAGCTAGTTCTAGGACAGGCTCCAAAAACACACAGACCACCACTGGCAGGAACCGATCATTGCAGGTAAAAAATTTTTCTTTTATAAATAAAATGTCTGAACACATTACTGTTCAAGAATTTAACAGTTTTTTTAATTGTACCATGTGGGAGATTTTACAAGAGGCGTCTATCACCCCACATCTATGGATCCTTCTGGGATTCGTAGTTTTCATTGTCACCAAATGGTTTGATAATAGAAATATGATAAAGTCTTTACGAGGCAAATCCAGGATTCTTAAGGCAGAGATTGAACGCTTAAAAACAATTGAGAATGACAACAAACTTCTCAAGAATCAGTTTGAAGTTCTCCAGGCTGATAACAATCTTTTCAAGAATCAGTTTGAAGTTCTCCAGGCTGATAACAATCTTCTCAAGAATCAGTTTGAAGTTCTCCAGGCTGATGTTAAGGAGAAATTCATTACTATGGAAGAGGGAACAGCTGATCTGGATCGTAAGGTTCAGTCCCTTTCTGTAGGACCTGAAACATTAGTGACTGATATTAAGGAGAAATTCCTTACTATGGAAGAGGGAACAGCTGATTTGGACAATAAGATTCAGTCCCTTTCTGTAGGAAATGAAACATTAACTGAGAGAATCAAAACTGCTGAATGTGACAATCGGATTTTGTCTAAAGCTTATGACAGATTGACGGAAAGATTGTCAATACAAGAAGGCACGGTTTATGCCATAAAAATTATGTCCAAAGATGAGATGTTATCTCTAACGAACAAACTTCATACTTTAGAATTCTCAATGAAGGCTTTGGAACATAATTCTGGACAGGAGATTCAGACATTGCAGAAGGCAATGGTGAATAGAATTGAAAAGATTGAGGAATTTCTAAATTCTGATGAAGAAGAGCAAAGGGTAGAAAGGCATTGAATTTCCCATTCTGACCACTGCTTCTCATTAATGATCAGGAAGCACTAGTCATCACATTAAGGATAGAGGTTGGCGATACACTTAGAGATGAAAGATAAGGGATGCGAGCAGCATGTGTGGCTTCCGTCAACTCCTCATTCTTAAAGAAAGCTGTTTATGATGAGAGAGTGCATAACGTGTTTAATATCAAGAATAAACAAGTGAAAATCAAAGCCAGTGGCTACTGCTCGCCTGGCTCACGCTCGTAAGAGGTGACTTCATTATAGTCCCGCATCCATTGTGCCGGCCACTAGTCCACAGCTCAGGAGCAGAGTTGCTCCTTTCTCCATTCCCCCGTCAATGAAGACGTCTCTTACACATCTACAACTATTGAAGCCAATCAAGCAAAGTTTGCGGTGCCATTTCCAGTTCCCAAGATGTTTTTCACTGTGCTGGAGACCGAACAACACAACACAGCTTACAGCTTATTTCTTCAGATCGCATGCAGACAAGAATTTTATTTTCTTAAATCCTGATTCTTCTCCTTTATAAACCCAAGTTCTAAAAAAAAAAAAAAAAAAAAAAAAAAAAAAGGCTTTGTTAAACATCAGCTCTTCAGACTAGAGACAGCACACCAAAACTGTGAACTTAGTCTTTGCTTTAGTGTGACACAGCAAGCTTGGGAAGATATGGCAGGAAGCATGGAGAGGTGACTTTTCATCTTCCTGGGTACCTGGCCATATTCAGGCATTTTATTTGGAAATGTGTTTGTTACACTGCATATAAAACACCAGCTTTGGGGCAGACTGTGGGGCTACTGGCAGTGGCACCAGGGTTTGTCCCTGCTGCTTGTACTGGCTTTTTGGAACCCATTCTCTTTGGATGGATACCTTGCTCAGCCTGGATATAGTGGGGAGGGCCTTGGTCCTTCATCAGAACAATGAGCATTGCCTTCTCTGAGGAGTGAATGGGGTTGAGGGGGGAAAGGTGGAGGGAATGGGAAGAGGGGAGGGAGTGGGAACTGGGATTGGTATGTAAAACGAAAAAAGGCAGTTTGTTTGAAAAAAAAAGAAAACAGAAAGATTTAAAAAGAAAAAGAAAACAAGCAAACAAACAAAAAAGCATCAGCTTTAAGCCAGGCATAGAGGTACAAGCCTTTAATCCCAGCACTTGAAAGACAGAGGCAGGTGGATCTCTGTGAGTTTGAGGCCAACCCGGTCTACATAGTGAGTTCCAGGACAGCCAGGGCTATATAGTGAAACTCTATCTTGAAATAAAAACAAAAATCAAACCAAACCAAGCAAGCAAGCAACCCCAAAGCTGTGAAAGCTGAATCCCCTAACTATCATTTACGATTGATTATAACTTTGAAAAGAGCCACTGGAGAGGATTTTCCAGAAGTTTTTCCAGTTATCCTTGCTGGCCTGGACTCAGTATGTAGGCCAGGCTGATCACAAACTCAGAGAGCTATCTGGCTTGGCTTCCTGAGCGTAGTGTAGTGTGCCCACTACACCTGACTAGGGAGTACAGTTCTTACATGCTATTTCTGTGCATATCGAGTTTCCCAAAACTCCATGGTTCATATCACAGACAGGGGCACATTTTCTAAACTATTAAGCGTCCCTCCAAATAAATAAGAAAACTGAAGCCTTTGAGATGGCTCAGCAGGTAAAGACACCTGCTGTGCAAGGCTGGCAACCTCACGTGGATGGGGGAGGAGAGCATCAGTTACACCATGTTTCCCTCTGACCTCCACATAAGCACCATGGCACAGGAGCACACGTGTAGGCGGAGGCCACTTGTTCGTTTCCCAGCAGCCCAGACACAAAATAATCACACAAAAACTAAATTAAAACACTGCTTAGCCTATTAGCTCAGGCTTCTTATTAACTAATTCTTATGTCTTAAATTAACCGATTCCTATTATTTTGTATGTTACCACAAGGCTCGTGGTTTCCCGATAAGGTTCCAGGGTTTCTGACTCCACCTTTTCTCCTCTATCTCTGCTTGGAACTCCTACCTTTCTCTATTCTGCCCTGTCATAGGCCTAAGCAGCTTCTTTATTAACCAATAGTAATAAAACATATTCACAGCATACAAAGGGGGGATCCACATCACCTCCCCTTTTCTGTCTAAATGAAAATGGTGGTTGCTCGTTCATTTCCTGGCTGTTCATACCTGAAATAATCACACAGAAACTGTGAACTAATCACTGAAACACTGCTTGGCCTATTAGCTTAGGTTTCTTACTAACTCTTACATCTTAAATGAACCCATTTCTATTATTCTGTGTATCAACACAAGATTGTGGCTTATTGGGTAAAGTTCCGAGGTCTTTCTCCTTTGGCAATTACATGGCGTCCTCTCTACTATGCCTACTTTTTCCCTTTATGTTTGCTTGGAATTCCCACCTTGCTCTGTTCTGTAACTCCAGCACTTGTGGAGTAGAAACAGGAAGATTTCAAGGACAAGGCAGGTATGAGCTACATAGCAAGACCGCCCCCCTCACACCCCCATACACACAGAGATGGAGAGAGAGAGCTGACACTTTAAATAAGAATGCATTATTACTTCTAGCAATACATTGGAGAGATCTAAAGACTGATGGCATTGAACTTGGCAAGGCTGCAGGAAGAGGGCTTCATATCCTACCGGTGCTAGTGTGAACTGGTACAACGCCTTGAAGGGATAATGGGAAAAACACTAAAATGACAGACAGGTCTGGGGGTGAAGCTCAGTGGTAAAGTATTAGCCTTGCATGGGTAAAGCCCTGAGTTCAAGTCCTAGCAAATCATAATAGGGTATACAGGTTTGTTTAAATGTATGCTAAAAAATAATATTTTATGTAAATTATACCTTGATTTTTAAAAGCTAGAAAGTTAATGCCAGTGTCCTTGAAGTAAATGCCATATTGACTTTAAAGAGACTGAGTTTGACCTACTAGTATTACACTGTGCAATGAATGTCAAGATACAGTAAATTGATAGCTGACGGTACAGATCTGGATATAGTGGCACATATCCATGATCCCCAAGGCAAAAAGACCATGAGTTCAAAGGCAGCCTGAGTCACCCAGCAAATTCCAGGTCAGCTTGGTTTTATAGTGACATCCTGTCACAAAACTACTAACTCAATAAACAAATAAATGAAAACTTGAGGGTGCAAAATGGTATATAACTTATGTTCCTTTTAAGAAAAAACAAGTGCTGTCAAATACTTAGTTGTATATGCAAGTCCACATACATGTATGATGTGTAGAACTATGTGTATATGCTCTTTGGGGAGGAAGCCTAGAAGATGAGGGGTCGAGGGATAGACTTTCCCTGTATATGTTTTTATTCTATTTGGAATTCTTATTATGGTATGTGTAGGGCCCATGGGTCTACCCCTGCTCCTGGGGTTCATCTTGAGGACAGTTTCTGGTCAGCCAGCTAAAACATTCTGTTTGTTCCTGTGCTCCCTCTGCCCCACCTGGTGATTAGCTGTAGGGCATTGTTTACTCCATCTTGGGTGTGGCAATTTCCCACCTGCCTGGGGGGAATTCCTTGTGCAGCAACTAGGTATATAAGGTTTTCCCTAAATCTGAATAAATGGCATTCAGCTGATCTCCTTTTGAATGACCCAGTTCTCTTGTGTGTTCTTTCAATCTCCAGGCCCTTACCGGCTCGTGTACAGTACAGTGGCACACTGTACTGAGAGGGTAACACAGAATCAGGTATTACAGGTATGCATTATTTTTCAAATATAATAAAACTTTAAACTTGGGGAGAGGCTAGGTATGGTGGTGCAAACCTTTAATCCCAGCACTCAGGAAGCAGAGACATGCAGATCTCTGTGAGTTTGAGGCCAGCCTGGTCTACATAACAAGTTCCAGACCAGCCAAGGCTACATGGCAAGACCCCATTTCAGCAAAACATGCAAATGTCTTAGACAGGAATTTCAAATACATGCACCCTTGGCACAAGAAAACAAACTCCACTTCTAGACATTCATTTCAGATATACACTCAAGCCTGGGGTGTAACTAAGTGGTAGAGCATTTGCCTAGTGTGCAGGAGGCCTGAGGTTTCACCTCAGCACAGAAAGGAAAATAAATAAAAAAGATAACACACCCAAAGTCAGGTTGGCTTATGTACATGTTTATGAGAGCATTGTTTATAATGGCCAAAGTTTGGAGCCAATCAAATACATACAGTAGGATGTTGTCGAAACCATGTATTATGAAACTGTGACATCCTTAGAGGCTGTCAAAAGGAAAGAGGAAGCTCTGCAGGCCTGGAGATGGAAGCAAACCTGCGCTTCCTTCAGTGGACCAGGGGAAATGGCTCAATAGGAAAACCACTTGCAATGCAAGTGAGGACCAAACTTTGGTACCCCTGAGCCCAGGTAAAAGCTGAGCAGGTGTGGCAGCCACCTAGAATCTAAGAATCAAGAGGCAGACACGGGGGATGCTTCAGAACTAAAAGTGTTGAGCAAGTGAAGAAGACAGTCCACATTAACTTCCTGTTTCCACATACACATGTATGTGTGTGCACATGTGTACACACTCACACATGAGAACACACATGCATACACACAAACAAATGACAGAGAGAGAGAGAAAGAGATCATCAATGAAGAGTAAGGTGCCCCGTTGATGAGGTAAGGGGGAAGGTAACATTTACTCAGATTTGATTGAGTATGAAAACTAATTCTGGAAGAGATAAAAATGAGCAGGGCAGGGTGGCACACACCTCTAATCCCAGCACTTGGAAGGAGGAGGCAGGAAAATCTTTGAGAGTTCAAGGCCAGTGTGGTCTACAAAGTTGTAGGAGAACGTGAATAAAGTAGTCCCACACTAGCTCAGAATTTAGTATAATGAAGTTTTTTTTATTTGGTGAGGACTCACAAAGAGACCCTATGCCTTAGTTGCTTGTCTATCACAGTGACAGAACACTGTGACAGAGGCAATTTAGAAAAAGCATTTAATTCAGAAAGCATTTAACTTGGGGCTCATGATTCCAGCGGGTTCTAGACCATCGTGTTAGGGAACATGGCGGCAGGCATGGCAGCAGGCAGGCAGGCATGGCATTGGTGCAGGATTCACATCTCAATCCACAACCATGATGCAGAGGGTGGGGGTTGGGGTGGAAAGAGAGTGTCAGGGACCAGCCTTGGCATAAATCATTTCTCATATCAGAGTGGAGGTGTGGGAATTAGTGAAGCACAATTCACACGACAGTATAGGAGGAGTTTCAGTGATCCTTCATAAAATCCTGAATTCACATCACCCCCATTTATTCTCCAAACATCTTTTATATCAAATGTAAACTGAGGGGGAGTTCATTAGCATTCTGTTTCCTAGGTGTGTGTGGGATGGGATGATTTAGGTCACGTCTATACCTGTGCCCATTTTGTTACGTCCTGCCCATGCCCATTTTGTCATGTACTGAAAAAAATCTCTTCCACGGGTGATCTCCTAACTTACAATAGAAGGAGCAGAATGACATTAGCCTATCCTGATCACTGTTTAGCATGGCGTCAGGTTGTTTCACTATCAAAAGCCAGGAGACCATCTTCTGT